ACACACACACACAACAGAGGGTTTGACGAACTTTTATAATACCATTTTCAGAGTCGTAACGGAACATAAAAACAGTAACGATGACGCAGCCTATGATGCGAGCGACGCATCGTCCAGATATATAATCTTATTTCTTAATTGCCCAAAGCCTAGAATTTTCTTATATCGTCATGATAAAGAAAAGAAAATAAAGGAACAAATTATTTCCACGACCAATTGATTTATTGCGCCGATAACGATCAGCTGTGACTTAAGAACCCATTGAGTAATTCACGTACAGATTGCTCGTTAAAAGTCACCGAGCCTCTGACCCCCGCGCGCTCGACCCCATCGCCCGTCCTCTATTTACGTAATGCGTGGATAAAAGTGCGAGGGAATGAAGAGTCGAAGAAACTTGTTTGTGATCGACACTGCCAGTTGTCGCCAGTCGACTTGTATCGCGCAGAATAATCGTTGGTCGATTAGCTCGTTTATTAGGCCAGAAGATTCTCGGACAGCTCTATCCTCATCCTTATTTTCAGATGTCGTTTTTTTTTCGACATTGCAGAACAATTGCACCATTATACCTTTTCCATGGATCTGAAGTATTTGCTGATAATGCAAATGTACGATTAACATTTGATAATGTAATTCTAATGTAATAAAGCTGGGGATGATACTCGTTGAATCACTTCACTTGAAATAAAAAAAAAGAAAGAAAAAAAAGAAAGAAAAGTGATTTTGCAAACGTGCTTAAGTCTTTTTATTATTATACAAATGTTTAATACTCCCTGCTTGAAACGTCGAACTATCAGAATGTTATGAATTTACGAAAAATCTAATTCTCATTGACAATTGATTGTAGAAAATTAAATATAATTTTTGCAATAACAATAATAACGTAGAATTTTACTTTTAAAACATCTTTACATGTATATTTACCATTAGTAAATTATTTAACTAAATTTATAATATTTTTTTGATTGGGCATATTATATACTATAAGTATTTGAGATAAAAATTCAACAATATTTCATTAGAAATTAAATAGAATATTCTTATTTTACATTTCTATTGATAATGTCACAAATGTCTTTGCATTAATTAGAATGAACTGACGTGGCATCGCGATTAAAATCTTCAGGAGATTGCAATATTACTATTTATAAAAATATTTCTAATTGATCTTTATAAGCATAATAAATGGTTACGGCTATTTTATTAATAAAAGTTGCATATTTTGTGCGAAGAAAAAAAATTCAATATCATCTCCAATATCTGACAAGTAAATTTATGTAAACATGCTATTTTTTTTTGTTATAATTCTGTAAAATAATCTACGATCAATGTAATTGAATAGAAAGTTATGCCAGTAGATTGATCATGTAATCAATATTATAAAATAGTGAAACCTTCAAAAAAATATTTTTGTATCTATTTAACTACACATTATAAATCCCACGCGCTTACACGTATTAAAGTGATTTATAAAATAATTTTGCTTCTTCAATGTTAATAAACATTATTAACATAATAAACAACTATAAATAAACGATACTTATTACACATAGATATAATACTTATTTACAAGTCATGTAATTAATTACAATTAATAACTACTGTTGAAATATAGATATAATACCTAATTATAATTAATTTGAAAAATATTAGCAAATTTCTTAGATTGCAAATATTGAAATTGGAATTTAAAGAGTTTATACTCTCTATTATATATAGCTAGATGCAAAAATATCATTATTGAGTTGTATAAAAATATAATAATTATTTTTTTGTTTTGTTTTTGTTTTTGTTTTTTTTTTGTTCGGAATTTTGATGAATTTCAAGTTTAGATGCTCGATTTATACAATTTCGTAAATTCAGCCTTGTGCTGAAAATGAACGACCTCGAAAACTATTCATACATTTTCATTAAATGTCCATAAAATATGATTTTTAATACGAATCGTGCTGGATTTGTCATTTTGAGTTATGTAAATCCGACGACATATTTGAAATAAACGGTGACCCTACCCTACACTGAATAAAAATAGAATGTCTACTTTATTTATCCGCCATACTCGATATAATACTTATTTATTATAAGCAGAATTTTTAATATTATATAATTTAATCTAAAAATTCGTTGATTTTAGTATTCCATTAAAATATTATGGCTTACCATTTCTGCTTGTAGAAAACATAGGAAATTTATCTATTTGTATGTAAATTTTCCGTTTGACATTAATTACATATATTGTCATTTGTAAAAATCAAAATATTTAGATAAAAAATCTTATTATGTGACATTTAAAATATATTTTTTATCTAAAATGTAGTAGATTATTGATTTAATTAATTTCATTCATATATTCTCTCAAAATACCACAACATCAGCTTTGACTCTTACACTGTTAAATAAAATTTATAGAAAAATTACTATTGGCTATAATAAGATGTATTGAAACTAGCTATTTAGATCTTCAGTTCAATGTACAATTACTCAGTCAATATAATGGAATCAATGAGACTATAAATCAGCCTATAAAGTGATAAAACGTCTATTATTAAAGGAAAGGCATTTATTAGGAGCAGTAGACAGAGAGGCTTAATATATATTCATTCTAATTATCAATATTGCTTACTATTTTTAAAGATTACGATAATTAAACTTTTATAATGTATCATATTTATATATAACATGTTATTATAAAGTAATGGTTAGTAGTTATTTGTATTTTTATTTAGTATGAGGTTGAAAGGTTTGTTTAGATAAGATTTGAAATTTGAAAACCAATATTAAGCAATGGTGTTATGAAATATGAGGACCACATTAGACGTATAATATTATTTGTTTATATTAATGCAAATTCATATATATATATATATATATATATTTAGTTTAAAATACGAAAGAAACGTAAAGCGCAACACAAACGCAATACGAAAAACAAACATTTTTCCTTTTCCTGATAAGCTTAATAATATATTAATGCAAAAAAAAAAAAAAAAAAAACGTGAAGAAAATTATGCACGGAGAAGAGAAGTTTAGCAATTTAGCAGAGTTCATAATATCCATTGAAAATGGAATATGTCATTATTTTCAATTCTTAAATAAAAGAAATGATGTATGAATGCAATTTCTCAATCAAATATTATTAAATAAAAATAATTATAGTAAAAGCCTTTTTAACTACGCTAATACAAAGTCCTACGAATAAAATATTATTATTGGTTTGCATAGTAAAAATGATTCATTGCTATAAAGGATTAAAATTACATCTTGAAAATTCTGAGAATATTTATTTTCATAATTCCCTTAATATTTAGAAAAAGTATGATATTTTTGACAGAAAAATGAAAAAAAATAGTATAACTAGTTTTTATGACTAAGTTAATAAAAAAAAAAACATATAAAACATAATATAATAACCTAAAATAG